ATAAACTGATCTTCTTAAGCTGACGCGAGGTTGGTACAGATCTTCGTTGTCGTTGTCGTTGTTTTTGATGTTATTGATCGATGGCTGACGTTTCGGCGACTTCGCCTTCCTCAGAGCCGTGATGTTACGTGCGGGACTAAATGTTACGTGAACGACAACGACAACGAAGATCTGTACCAACCTCGCGTCAGCTTAAGAAGATCAGTTTATAAGATCACATAAATAAATTAATCAGTAAGTCTTCGGTTGGTGGAGATTATGCTGGGGCCCGCACAACCGGTGAGGGCGGATCATTCAAGTATCAAGTAAGTAAGATATTATAACACGCCGCGGATGTAGCACGATGGTTACAGGCACCCTAAAATAGCTGGTATTTGGTACACGGTAGTTGGTTCCATAACGCGGCTTGGCTAATCTTGCCCTCTATTCCTCTGTAATCCTCTGGTGTCAAAAATTTGATGAGACACTTGCGTAGGAAAAACACCAAATTGAAAAATTCACTGTTTTCTTGATGAGCAAACACGAGGTTGTTACTTTAATCCTTATTTATTTTTGAACAAGTTGATGCTTCGGCGGATCCTGTGTTGCAGATGAAGAAGCCTTTTTTTCTCAACGTGATTCTAATGTTGGTTTGCCTTTTTCTCTGTTTGGTTATGGAGATGTTTGGTTAGGTAGATTGCAATCAAGTTGACCTTTCCAGGCTCTGAAGAAAGCTAAATCTCCGGAGATGTCAGCTTGTTCATAAATAAATAAAGAGTAAAATGAAAAACTCATGTTTACTCATCAAGGGAAGGGTGAATCAATCGATCAGTTCCGGGGTTTATAGAAAGTCGGTTGTGGGAATTACTAAATAGATCGGTAGGTCCTCTCAAGTTATTGTAAAGGTCTCGTATTTCCATCCATTCAACTGTACGATGTTAAGGGAAGTCCAAAGTAAGGCCCACCTAGAAGATTGATTAACGACAAAACTTTACCCCTCTATGCATACGATCTTATGTTGTGATGTTTGATACAAAGAAACCTTTCGCTCATTACTGAACATTCGGCCATAGGAGCAGTTTTGCTAATTCCCACTGACTTAGCAAAATAATTTGAAGGAAGGATTATGGCTGGCAACAAAAGTGAGTCTACGGGAAGATGAGAAAAAACTTAAACACTATTGATTTGTTCCCACACGACCCGCAGTTTACTATGTTCTTCTTTTCCCTGTGGTATTTACCTAAAATAAGTCTGATTCATATGCGATGCTTATGCTGGGGAAGAAGGACTCATTGTGTGTAGGGTACTGTAAAGCTGAATGAAAGATGCCCTTATATGGGGTCTGGTTCCTCAGGGATATTCAGTGGTGCGCGAGGATGAGTTGTGCTACACGCTTGATTTAAATGACAGTATTAACCGATCAGTTCCAATGGTTTCTCATAGAGGCTCTGAATCTAACATGTGGAGCCCTAGCTCCCTTGAAATCAGAAAATCGTCCAATGAGCTTCTACAATGCTGTGGGGAAGAACGGAGATGGTGTTAGAGATTTCTGAATTCTCTCCATAATCAGCTGGCGAACAGAGGTTCATGAATAACTTCGAAAGGGTGTTCTACTGCAGGAGGACGGAAACGTTATAAACGTTTTTACGCTTTCTTCGTTCCTACTAATCGTCGTAGACGGAGGAGATTGAATGCACGCTTGGTCTATGTAATGACTTGCATTGGCTCAAGGATCTATCAACTCGGTATTTTTTATCATCCCAGACAAATTTAGCACCAATTTGCCGATCAAGGAGAGGTGATGAAATTTGTCTGACCGTGGAACGGGATCGAATCTAACATCTACGAATGGAGTGAACACCCCTAGGCATTGCTTTACGTGCGCCCTGTAATGACGATTAGAATTAAAATCGAGCAAACGCAAAACATCAAAAACTGAGACTTCTTATGAGATTAATCATCATCGTTATCCATACAAAATGGACTACATATTTTAATGGTTTTATTCTTTTTAGTAATGGCAATAAACTTTTCAGGATGATCTTCGTTTCGGACTGGTCTTCAACGGCATTCATCGCCTCTGCGGCTATGGACGGTTCGTCCTTTACGAAAATCATTGTCGATCGGGTTACTTGGCCGAATGCCCTAGCTGTGGACATTTACGCGGATAAGATCTACTGGGCTGACGCCTACAATGATGTCATCGAGTTAGAGACAGAACTGGTTTATTGCTTTATGTTTAATATATTTGACGGATACAGGTATTAAACTGGCAAAAGAAAGAAGGATTCACATAGCGCGGTAGAAAGAGCTTCATCGTGACCCCCACTGTCCTTGTTTCTATTCGGCGTGCAGACCAACTAAACTCTCCATCTAGTCAGTGCAAAGGCTAAATTCTCATTTGATGACTAGGAGGAAATGAAGCGCTTAAAATTTCAACTACAGCCATAGCTTAACTGGGTTCTATGCCGATTTGCGCTCGCCAGATCAACCCCGCTGACGGGTGATTGCTGTGGCAAAAAGATCGATAGAAATAGCTGAGAGACGTGCGAAACAAAGGACCCGCATGGTGTGGTGGTGAACGCGTTACTCCCCGGAAAGGATAATAGCGCGTTCGTTCCCCACCATAGACACCGGCGGTCCAGAGTTTTGCAAATATCTCAGCAACGTTGTGGTTGAAGCGCTTAAATTTCGTTGTCGCCAAGGTTTTAAGATCTTGTTTTGGTTTGGGGAGAGATGTTTGCTTGAAGCCTAAATGCTGGGAAAATGATACATACTACAGTGCAAATTTTATATGAAGGATAACATTGCTGAACCTAGAGGTAACCAAATCCCGTCAAAAGCTTTTCATTTAAAGCAAGAGAAAAAACGGATCTATTTCCTGCAGCTGCTTTACGAACCCAAAGCTTGAGTGAGACGAATGAAATATACAGCGCCATCTTGAGCTTTAGGGTGTCTGGACTGGACGGATCGGGTCGCCATACTATCATTTCTGATTCCGGTACCGTACCACACGTTTTCGCCTTAACAGTTGCCGATGACTCATTGTATTGGAGCGATTGGACATATAGGTTAACCACTGCTACAGTACTCATATACCACCTAGTTATTCGTTAAACCGTGCTGTATAAATATGCATAATTAAGGGGATTGTTGAAAGCCGACAAACTTACTGGAGACAACGTAACTGTAGTTGCACAGACCGCGCTGCTACCGTACGGATTAAAGGTGTTTCATCTTTCATTGCAACCACAATGTGAGTTTTTCGACGCATCGCGCTTTCCTTCTTCATTCCATAGGTTTTTCATAGGTGACGAACGATTGCAATAGTTTGCGTCGTACACTCAATGTTACGGTTTATTCATTATTCATAAACCTTGTTAAAAAATCCACAACTTTTGCCTGCCTATAGCAAAAACATGATATTGCTCAATCAGGCCGTTTTACGTACTTAGATACATGGACAGGCCGTTTTCACGACTAGTGCGGTCCCTTTCACACTTTTCACATTGGGACGTATTACTTCATTCATTCTGAAGCGGTCGTAGTCCATAGTGGTGATTTGTTTTGAGTATGATGACGTCCACGATGCCAATTCCATGAGTCTAAATCGCTTCCATCTGCAAATGCAACTGCTTAATGTGATGTTACAAGCACATAGCTCTAGGTAGTTGTCCAAGAGGATGCTTGTTTGTTTTTCGAGTCACCTTCACTGTGTTTCTCGCTCATTTGTCGTCAGGCCGTTCCTTTTCTATAGCTTCCCTATCCATACTTTATTCTCAGTATGTCCTCTTTCGAATTTCGAATAAGATTTTATCGATTAGACATGTGTAGTTGACACATTCGATATGGAGCAGATAATAAAACTCTAATAAAGAATAAAGCTCTCGGCGTTGATCAAGCCCTGAGGGATGCGCCATGCATTCGACTTCATTAAGTATCGTTGGAGGTGATTGAATGCATATCTGGCCTTTACAGCGACTCGCGATGACCTACCGATGTATTGAGCCGGTGCTGCTATCCTCCCAGACAAGTCTGGTACCAATTTGCCGACCCTGGAGAGATGGAAGGCTTGGTGGACCTTGGGCGCAGGGATCGATTCCACGTGTGTGCCGCAGTGGCGCCTCCAACCACTGCACCACACACGCCCCTCATGGAGCAAATATTTGCTTGAATCCTTGGACAATTGAACAGATCGTATCACGGATTATCCGAACATTGGCACAATCCTCATTTATTTTATTCCCTCGCGGTTATTCTTCGTAAAGATGACCTCTCTACGCATTATGACATTCACACGTTTCACTTCCGTTTACCACATATGAGTTCAGCTGACCAATATGATTGGGAAGGACACCTAAATATCCTTCACTTGATTCAGGACCATTTTCATTTGCGATACTATCCACCATTCCCTTTTGGTATCTATAAATATTTTTCACCACACAATCAGTTTACGCAATTTTGTTCCAAAGGCTTAACCTGTGGAAACGAAACGAGATCTAAAATGAAAAGTTTGTTGAAAAAGCAGATATATTTGAGAAAGATATTTGTGAACAACTCTGTAGACGAAGAGTAAACTGCCAGATGAGATTGAGGTGGCCGACGTCTCCGCATTAGGTAATTCATCTTCTGTATGGCTCTATAGCCTTCCACGTCGAACTGTCCTAGATGTGAATTTGAAAACCACAAACTTTTGTAATTAACCCTTTATAGAAACAGTGCACTAATACAATGTTAACATAATGGGATTAACTTGTGGGAAGTAAACGTGTGTTATAGCTCTAGTGTGTAATAGCTCAACTGCTTGGAACAGTAAAGTTCCAATGGCAATGATGAATAGAAGAGTAATGTGCTAATGGTGATTAGCACAGTAATGTGCGTGACATACAGCAGTGATTAATACTGCTTTTATGAACAAAGGGTTCAACAAATGATGAGTTCTACCTTCGGTACTTGGATTCCTGGACGGCCCCGTCTCACTGGTTGTGCGGACCATCCTCCATTTTTCGGAGTTTTGTTAGTTTAGCCATTGTGTTTTCTTAGAGTCCCCAGGTCAGCCTGGCCAAAGTCTGCCTCAGGCCTTTATCACCACAGGCTGTCGCAGCCATTTTGGATTAGAGGGAGATTTACCACCATACGACTTTGATACCAGGATGTTGGTGGATCCTGGTATTGGTTTACTCTTAGCTAGGCTTCCTGATGGAAACGATGGAAACGCCGGACTCCTTCTCAGCTTGGGAGACCCTACCAGAGGATGAATTCCCCGCTCTACAACATAGGCCGACGCCCAGGAACATCTCCCAGCCACAATGAGGCGGTAAACCGTTGGGAGGAATAAAGCGATGAAGCGATAAATTCTACCACACGAAGTGAAGCAGTCAGAGAGAAGTGACGACTACAAGAAGTATATTCAGGCGAATGAGAGGATGACTAGTGAATGCTGTTTATGTCTCTGGTTGAATGAGCGGAATTACGGCATAGCTTCAGATCGTGATGGTCAGTTCATCGGAACAGAGCTCGCAAAACCGCGTTAGACGTAGGATACACTAAACGAAGCACTATACAAAAGCTCCTTCTACAAGGGATGCAACAGATAAGGATGCTGTAGTTTGCGAAGAAAACATCTGACAAAAGTAGAAAGTTTGCACTCAAAGATTGCTAAACCGTAAGCAGCTTGAAAGCGCAAACATATCAAACTATGTATGAAATATGGGAACAAAGTGATGTCTATCTGATTGAGATTAAGGTCTGTAGTTTTCTCTGCATACTGTAACGTGCCTCTGAAATGAACGCGTGAATTTGTCAATAGATGGACGTCTTTTTTGAGAGGATCAAAGACGTGCATTCGTCGTTTAATATCATATTAAAGTTTTTATCCAAGCTCTTTTACATAGTTATTGAGTGATTTGGGTGAACATGTTCACAACGAAAACTCATATGCCCTCTCTTGGTTGGTGGGAGGCGCCACTGCGACACACACATGGAATCGATCCACACAGCACCCATGGCCCACCAAGCCTTCCATCCCTCCGGGGTCGGCAAATTGCTCTCAGACTGGTCTGGGAGGATAGCATCACTGGCTCGATACATCGGTAGGCCACCGCAAGTCGTTGTAACGGCCAGATATGCATTCAGTTACCTCCAACGATACTTAATGAAGTCGAATGGATGGCGCATTCCGCAGAGATTGATCAACGCCGAGAGCTTTATCTTTTTATCATTTGTACCTTATTTTGTCTTTCGTTTTTTTAGAGGTTTTCATAGACTGGATTCCACTTCTGTTCCATTCAAACCGTTCTCTTTCCCTTCAACTCAAACAGATTTATATCCACTGTGTAGACCTTTAGTTAATTGGTGTTGCTCTTTGAAAACCTGTGACTTATGGAAAAGCAAGAGCGATAGCAGTCAGCTACAGTGTTGCTCTAGTGTTATGCGTCTTCCAGGGTAGGAATTTTCTACAAATAGCATTAACTGTTAGCGGTATAAGGTAGTCATCCCCTTTTTAAACAACTTCTTCTTGCAAGATTTCTGCCGCTCGATGCTGTCGTCGTGTAATGAAAATGCTTTGTTTCGTCAGAGAGGAAGTTGGACTCATTATAAATTTTTTGTGAGGAGTTGTTAGTTTAGTAGATACTTACTTGATACTCGATGCTCGAACGGCACATCCTCACTGGTTGCGCGGGCCCCAGCACAATCTTCATTTTTCGGAGATTTGCTGGTTAAACCACTGTGGTACCCTGGAATCACGACGTCAGCTTGACCAAAATCTTTCTCAGGTCTTCATCACCACAGGCACTCTCAGCACTAGTGGATCAGAGGGAGATTTGCCACCATGCGACTTTGATACCAGGACGGTGGTAAATTTTGGTATTGGTTATTGATGTTTAGTTTTGACTTAGTGTGAATCGTACTATTGAAAGGATTAGCGAATACACAATGTTTCTTTCCCCACAAAAAAAAAACTTTTGGTGTTAGAGATGTAGTTGGCAGTAACAGAACACATTCAGTTAGTGTTTTTGATTGTTGGGAATATCTACATACTATGGTACTAGACCAGTTTCCTTGCCCACTTTCTTTTCAAATTTTCCAGTGAAAAGTTCCTACGGTTGTTCAGCGGTTCCTTTTACAGCAGCCCTTCAAGGATGTGAAGATTAGTAAGACGAGATCACAGAATCTCGTGTTATTCGACAGAGATCTATGAAACGGCAAGGTAGACACCACTGAGAACTTCTTTTTTTATAGTCAGGGTTCTTCAAGGTTAATATATAGCCTTCTTTATCTGACTTTTCTACAGCGTACGCTGTCACTCGGAAAGTGATATGAGCTCAGTCCTCATTTTTTACCAATGGCGTTCATCACAGAGCGTGATCGGCTAGTTATGAGTTCTTTCACTGCCTAACGTCGTAGGCGATGTACTGAGATAACTGCAGTAGAACACTTGTCAGGTTTCATTACGGGTGCACCTCGGCTTATATAAATCCTAAATGAGATTTATGTATCAGGCTAGAAAAATTTTCGCGTTTTTCAAATTTCTTTCTCATTTTTGCGAATATTTTGAAGTTGTGGGTGTGGCAGAAAAACAAATTGGTAGTCCTATAAATGTTCGAAATACATCGATTCTTCCTTTCTATCAGCTTTCGCTTTGAGCTTCGTTTCCTCAGACAATGCGGTAAGAAGAAGAGAACAGGAGCGCTATGAGTGTCAGCGATATGTAAACTTGGATATTTTTTGAATTTTCCAGTCCCCTCGTTGTGCAGTACGCTCGGATGTGAACAACTATGTCTGCTCGGGCCCGAACGGACAGCTAAGTGTGGATGTGGGGAAGGATACGAACTTCACGCCAACGGTAGAAACTGCACCAGCAACTGTGATTCCAAACATATTGAATGTGGAGGATCGGAAGCCAAGTATGTTGGTAATGAGCAAAAATGTTTCTGGTGATATAACAGTAGTGAAAGTTTATTTTTATTCTCTTACTACCCTATCTACGTCTTCCATTTTCTACTAAACTTTATTGTTATTATAAATTACTGATACGAGTCTACAGATATGAAAACTGGCCATTGCCAACCTAACTTCGGTAGCTTTGAATATAAGTTAGGATTAATCATCAGTGACCGAAGATTAATCATTGTTGAGGTAACAAGTGAGCTTTGCTCGCTGGTGGGATACCATTCTTAAAAGTGACGTGTTGTCCCACTAAGGATCCGAATATCGACATAGACGTTCAACTTCTCATATATGGTTCCCGATTCGGGCATGATGATCGCCGACTGCGACCTTCCAGAGAATATTAACGTGATAAACCGTTGGCAGAGTTGATCGACCCTAGTACTCGAAACCTCATCATCGTGGAGAGTGTTTGCAGCGAAGTGCGGAAGCGAATGTTTTAATTGTTTTTTCTACCGTATTTGTTATGGATAATATTTTGAGCTCTGCAGAAAGGAGGAATCCTTCATAGGCAGTCATAACTACAAGATTTACTAAGTTCGTTCTTATGCCGAATTGGGTGACTTTCTTACGATAATATTTCCGCGTTACTTAATTTAGGACTTTCAATCTAACTTCTTGTTATTTTCCTCCAGTTAATATTAGTCCATCTTGCTCTGCTTTCTGAAAGAGCATGGTAGTGTTGTCTTACATAGTCAACGTAATATTTTTTGCCAGAATCCGAATATCCTTTATGAACACTTTTTTACTCTTTGAAAGTGTTCAGGTGCATTTCCATGTTGTACGTCTGTGACGGTATCTCTCATTGCAATAATCATGCGGACGAGATGAAATGTCGTGAGTTTTCTTCGAACAGCTCGAGCACCACCGCCCTCGTTCTGTCCCGAAACGCCTATCCCATTCCCGACTGTTAGCATGTCATTGCTTTTGTTTGCCTTTTGACCAAAATTTCCTTCACTGACATGTTTTGTTTTTGAACTGTCTTTAATTTTAGTAGAACATCAATAGAACGCTTGACGACGTACTGTGCTGCTTCGAAGTCTAAGCCAGCGTTCACAACAAGCAACCGAATTTGACCAAACGTGGCTAGAGGCAAATTGTCTACGTCACCTCTAACTTAATCATAAGTAACTCTAGCGAGAAGCAATAAGCCCATCCGTCCAGTTGCTCTGTTACAATAATAATGGTAATAGTAATAACAAATATTATTATCAATAATAATGATTCATTACTATTGTTGTTATTATCATCTTCGAAGCTCTTCGGTCTTCTTCTCTGTCTGGAGATTAGGCTTCAACTGGATAGTCCTCGCATAGCCGTGCTAAGGTGGGAATTGTACAGAGGGAAATTGTCCCAGACAAGTCTGGCACCCATTCCCCGACAACGAAAGGATTACAGGTTTGGTTTGCCTGAAGTGGAGTCAATCCATTGCCTTGGTACTTTGTGCCATCCGCGTTATGAACGGGATCACTACCACTAGGCAACGCGCCCCCTTTCACTCATAAAGATTGTTTTGCTATTATGCCTATTTTTTTCGATTTTTCCATATTTTCTACTATACTTTCTTTACCTTTTTTGGCGAGAAGCTAGCTAAGTAACTTGATAATTCTGTTGTGGAGCAGAACTACTTCTAGCTCCTTGTGATAATGTGGAACTTATTCTCAACTTGGCTGACTCTGTTACTAGGAGGAACCCATTGCACAACGCAGTTGGACGCGCTGGAACACCTTTCAGCCACAACGAGGCGATAACCCATTGGAATAGAGTGGAAAAGTCACTGTAAAACAACGTTTATTTTTTATTCAATGCCTTTTTTAAATATGTGAAATACAAGCACAGCGATGCTTCGAAATGAGCCAAACTCGGAAATGGGCCTCAGTTGAGCTTCGATCTTGTGATTACCTTTTCATGGGGCTCACATATTATCTACCACACCAATCGAGGCCCTTGCTTTGCCTTTTTTCAGCTGGGTTCAGTTCTGATTCGTGCTCTTCAGATCATTCCAGCTGACAGGTGATTGCTGATAGCATAGTTTAAAAATTAGCTCTAAAGCTTTTTTAACGATGAAAGCTCTCGGTGTTGATCAATCGCTGAGGGATGCGCCATGCATTCGACTTTATTAAGTATCGTTGGAAGTGATTGAATGTATATCTGGTGTTTACAATGATTCGTGGTGGCCTACAGATGTATCGAGCCAGTGCTGCTATCCTCCAAAACAAGTCTAGTGCCAATTTGCCCACCCCGGAGGGATGGAAGACTTGGTGTGCCATGGGCGCGGGGATCGATTCCACGTCTGAGTTGCAGTGGCGCCTCCAGCCACTGCGCCACACACGCCCTTAGAGCATATCGTTAGCATCGTTAGAGTAGAAAAATTGGCTGAGAGAAAGGCAAAATGGGAATGTCGGTTAGTGTGGTGTATAGCATGTAAGCTCCCGGAATGGGTACTCGCGGATTGAAAGCTCAGCTGAGCTTTCTAATGTTGCTCATGGCTTAGCATCCTTGTGGTTGCATTTCAGTGTAAAATGGTCAGTTAAGTAATCGGTATTTTTAGGGACGGTTCAGCTGAATTAGCAATACTCGTGTTTCTTTTCAAGCTCTCCTCATTTTATAATAGAACCAGTAGAAAAGTAAAAACCACGGCTACTAACCAGAAAGACCCTGTGGCTATTTAGGTGTTGAAGCATGTTACAGAAGTGTGGCTTTGGTTTTCAATACTCTAAATCATGTTACTCGCTGTTTTCAACATTTCTAGTGACTTCTGCTGGTAGTTCCAACCATTCTAAGTCTACTTAAACCCTGCAATCTAACACTTCCTAATCAAAGCCGGAATTGTACAATAATAACGAGACGGAATGCCTACATTTACTGCATGGGTTACCTTGTAGCGCTATGTAATCTCACTTTTTTAGAGAGAGATTAACTGTTTAGCTCCACGAATTTGTCTTCCTGGACAATTTCAATGTCACGACAACAAGAAATGTGTAGCTCCAGGAGGTTTATGTGATGACGTTGAAGACTGCTTCGATTCGTCCGATGAGAAATTCTGCCCACCAGGTTTCAGAACGAACACTCGTAGTTCACATGTGAACGAAATGCCAGCCAGACAGCTTTAATTTATTCTATAACGTATTATATAATTCTTCTAATCATTTCTTATGTAATGTCGTCGATCTCATGATTGTAGCGTGAAAGGATTTGAGTATAAAGTTCAACAACTCATTGGACTTTATTATTTTCATGACTTTGAAATCGTCATAAATGTCACCTAAAACGATGGTGTACTCTTACGAAGTTGTTCATTAAACCTTAAAAAATCATAATTTTTGAGCTTTTAAGTCTATAAAGCGGAAAACACAAAGTAACGATGGAATGAAGTTTCTACCTTAATGTTGCTGAGATATTTGCAAAACAGCGAACCGCAGGTGTCTGTGGTGGGGAACGAACGCACTATTGTCCTTTCCGGGGAGTAACGCGTTCACCACCACACCATGCGGGTCCTTCGTTTCGCCTGTCTCTCAGCTAGTTCTATCGATCTCTGCCGTCAGCAATCACCCGTCAGCAGGCTTGATGTGGAGGGTCCAAATCGGCATTGAACCCAGTTAAGCTGAGGCTATAGTTATAGTCATAATTTTAACCTTTTTATTTACTACCTATTCTTTTTAACGGCAGAGTATTTGCGAATTATAACTTTAATGCTGCTGAGATATTTGCAAAACTCCAATAGAACTAGATGAGAGACAGGCGGAACGAAGGACCCGCATAGTGTGGTGGTGAACGCGTTACTCCCCAGAAGGGACAATAGCGCGTTCGTTCCTCATCGCAGTCACCTGCGGTCTGGAGTTTTGCAAATATTTCAGCATCATTAAAGTTATACTTCGCAAATACCTTGCCGTTAATAAGAATAGTAGTAAATAAAAAGGTTAAAAAGGTGCTACTCTTGTAAGTACGACAATGAAAACGAAGTGGGTTATATTGACCTTACAACATGAGATAAAGTGGAAAGAGAAAATAGCAATACAATTCGAATACTTAAATTAACTTTATAGTGGACGAATTTATAGCGAAATTGTACTGGTATGACGCACTTACCAAGACACTTGCAAGGCCTGCGTTAGCAATGTAGATGATGAGGGTTCGCACGTGGGTTTGACATCAGCTTCAGGATACGATGTCTTCTGTTTTCATTGACATCTTGCAAGGTTTTCCACATCTCTGTAGGAACTCGACAACTTTTGTGTATCGAACGGAGATATCCTGCCCAACGAATAGAATTCTTCCAGCTCGGCATCGGTGAGTCCTGATGTTTATCGGGCCACTGATCGACGACGATGTATCAGGTCGAATAGTGCTGAGTACTTTTTTTAAAACTCTAATACAGAAAATAGTGAAAGGGTAGCTTAATGATAATAATCCCGTTCGCTTAACTGACGACCCCAACCCACCCAGGAACTGGTTCCACGCCGTCGCGGGCTCACCTAGCCTCTCATCCTTCCATGGTCGCGGCTTTGGTACTAGGCATTTCCAGGACAAGCTCACTCCCTCTAGTTTAAGTGGAACAGCCTCACATGGATCTTAGGATTCCAAGGAGATTCGACTCGACCAACATTCGACGGAATTCTTGACGGAGCCGAAAAAATCCTCAAGCAGCAGGTGAAGCCACACGCGAAGAATTGGAAGATCTTCGTGACTGGTGGATGGGTGGAATCGAATCGAATGCAGGAAGTGCTGGGATCCGCCTATCTTCATAGTACTATTATTTTCTAAGGGTTTACAACGATTTTGTACAGTTTGCGGCCATCATGTAAATCTAGTTGGAAGTGTTCCTTTGTCATATCGGCTAATCAATCACCTTTCTTTGCTCCAACTGAGTAAAATGTGACTCTTCATCTCTTTGCTCGATGTAAAGGAGCGTACAGAACATTTTTGCATGATATAATTTATTAAATTCAGAGCCAAACTTATTGATCGGACCATCTTCGTTCTTTACAAATACCTCTGCCTTATGTTTTCTTGATATTCATACGGGAGGCTGTTACTATAGCATTTAATGGTCCCAAAAGCTGGCATTTGGTCGGATTTTTCCCTCATCAGAGCCTGGAAGGGTCAAGTTGACCCCAATCTAATCAGTCAGACACCTCTATAACCTCAGTAAAAGAATTTCGAAGCCTAAATTTCAATTGTTCTGGAAAAATTTCTTGAGATACTTATCGCTTTCTGTGAGCCTTTCACGTGGAGAGAAACCTCACAGGGGTTGCATGGATGGGTAAGGTTCCTCTCTCACATTAAAATATCGATCCCACCTACTGTATTAGATCACGTGCGATTATGAGGTATTCTCCCTTGCGATTCATTTTCGGATTCCTGGAACTTATCCAGAACGCTTCGACAGTTTCCCGCGCTTTCTTTTTGATGTTACGTTTTATCGATTTGGTGACTGCTATGTGATAAGCGAACAGCTGCACTACTGACTGTCGAGGGCTTGTTATCTCATGGAATGCGCTTTTTCTTGCTGGATCGCATGCAATTTCACTATTACTGCCTCAGAATACCACCGAAAAACTTGGGAAGCCCTCAGATTCAGGAACTTTTCAAATCATTTAGGCGTGCGATGTAATGTGCTCTTCGTAACTACGGAGACGATTCGTCACTTCTGGTTCATACCAGGTTTGATTGAAACCCCGTTCTGCATATCCAGTATAAATTGTTTTCTTGTCCACCTATGGAACAAGTGTTCCGTTCAGGGTAAAGTAGGTTTTCTTTTTCGCGCATCGAAACCTTCTCTCACAAATTCTTTTCAGAGAAAATGCCGTTGCAAAGTCATTCCGTAGTTCTTTAAAATCTCTTTGGGGTCATTTTTTAGTTCTTTGAAGTCTGTTTAAGGTCATTCTTTAATTCTGACTTAAAGTCATTCTTATAAACGTATATCTCCGATTATTTTCTTCTTTTTGGTTAGTTTGTACTATGAATGGCACTCTGTAAGCAGTTGGTCTCTTACACTTATAATAGCTCACGAAGGTAAATTAGTAGTGGTCGGTTTGTTTGTGTTGTGTAAACTATGTTTAATGCAGGATATCAACTTTGACAAGTGAAAATGCTACCAACACCGGACCAAGTGAATCCGTGGTATGCTGGCATGTTGGTTGTCGGAGGTGTTATTGGCTACCTGAAGGCTGGTAGGTTCACCTATATCACTTTTGCTTTTTTTCAAAACCGTCTTTTCTCTAACCTCGCTATGACTAATCAATATGTTCGCACTTTTGCTGAGCAAACGCGAGGTGTTATTATTCTTTGTTCACGATTAAGCTGACGTTTCGGCGTTTCGAATGCAGTAATATAGTATAGTATAATGTGCACATTATACTTCCACGTGATTTCTGTGCGGTTGGTCTCTACGTGACATACTTAGTGGAGACCTCATAGAAAGCGGCTCTGAAGAAGGCGAAATTCGCCGAAACGTCAGCTTAATCGTGAACAAAGAATAATAACACCTCGCGTTTGCTCAGCAAAAGTGCGAACAAAATCACTTGATCAATGCCGAGGTTAGTAGAAAGTTAATCAATATGTATTATTTCTTTGATAAGCTTACACGAGGTTGATAAATAACCTTCACTTTTGCTTTTGCCCTCAACTTTCTGATTCATTCTGTTCATGTAGAATCATGTAGTGGTCAACATTACAACATGGTTATTTTCATTACCTTTGTTAGATATTGCTAGTAGCCATGTTTTATATCATCGATCGTTTATGGGAATTATTGATATGAATGGATTTTCCTTTGGATTTTCCAAAACATAAAAAATCCTAGACTTGCAGTTTGGTGAACTTGTCTTTATTACGAAAAAAAAAACCAGTTGAGATGTAGAATTATAATGGGTTTCAAGGATTGCTGATGGCAGCGCTAGGTAGAAAACTAGCTGAGAGAAACGTTGAGCAAGGGCCTCCGTGGTGTAATGTGTAATATGCGGGTTCCCGGAAAGGGTAATCGTGGTTCGATCTGGCCCAGGGTCCAAGTTTTGTGAATGTCTTAGCATCGTTGTGGTTATAATGGATTTGTAGAAGTTTCTGTGCAATAGCTTCAGTGTTTTGTATTCTATTAGATAGATTTCATGGTTTTCTAGATAAAATACATAGGTTTGTTTCATCGTGATATTAAGTACTGGGTGTTGAACTATTTATACACAGACTATAGGTACTTTTTCCTAACGGATCCGCGTACGGATTTCTTAACTTGTTAAAGGTGCCTTCCGTTACATGCAAGATCCTTGGTTTGACTGCGCTCTTTGAAAAAACCAAGGTCTGCACCACTCTGGGGTTGGGAGGCTGGTATCACATTGGTCTTGGAGAATACAGATATTGACTTGGCCGCAAGAGCGATTCTGTAAACCGAGTAGGTATTTATCCCTGCGGTGCTCAATGAAGTTGAATTCACTGCGCATCTCTCAAGGATTGATCAACGCCGAATGCTTTATCCTTTATTCTCCTTTCATTAGCATCGTTCTGCTCATCTCGTCGTTTGCTTTGTTTTAAGCATTTTCAGTGTCATCTGTTATCGGTTTCTTTTTAGGATCGATTCCTTCATTGGTAGCAGGAGCGGGTAGTGGCATCGTCGTCGGCGCATTCACTTTTCTAGACCTGCCTTATAAGACAGCTGTTATTACTGGTGAACTTGTTTCTACTTTGTTGTATGAGAGTAAGACAGTGCATGAAGTAGAGTTTTAATCAATGTTCTTCCATTTTTCTACCTTTACAAGAACTCTTCCTTGACAAATCCTAACTTGTTTACTGGAAACAAAGCCACATTGTTGCTGTAGTTCCAGACATTTCAACATTAAGATTATGGATTGTTCACACCAATCAAATCATTTCTGTGTTAAGGTGTCGCTGGTGTTTTGGCCTATGTGATGGGAATGCGTTTCGCTAACTCTCATAAGATAATGCCAGCTGGTGTTATTGCTTTGGGAAGGTAATAGCTTATATTAGTTTCAAAACTTTACAAGTAATTTGTCACCAGTAAATAAGATAAAATGTATTATAAAGTAGGGGCGCGTGTAGCGCAGTGGTCTGAGGCGCCCTGAAATACGCAAAGGGTCGATGCCTGCCTCCAAGGTTCACCAGGCACTCCATACCTCCGGGGTCCGCAAATTGGTACCAAACTTGTTTGGGAGGATAGCAGTATTGGCTCAATACATCTAGGCCATCGCGAGTCATTGTAAAGGCCAGATATGCATTCAATCACCTCCAAGCGATGCTTAATGAAGTCGACTGCATGGCGCTTCCCTCATTGATGGGGATGCCGTGATTATAAAGTAATGTGCAAGTCATTCAAGCTACACTAATTGTAATAGACATATTACGTTATGTATCTGTTTTACAGTGTCGCCGCACTGCTTGTCCAGCTAAATCATTTGAACAGAACGCGAAGCTTACATTAATTATTTTGTTATTATGTTTTATACAAAAATTACTGTTGTCATTGTATTTTTCATGTTGTCTACCATTTATTTTTTTACTAGAACATAAAACGAGAGGTACTGTTTATTTTGTAGTTAAGGGACTACTTAAGCACCTAAACCCAACTTCGTTCAGTTGTCGTATTTTACTCAGCAGTATATTGTAAACTGTTTTAAGCATGCTGTACTCAGCAACTTACCCACTGATTCCAGTTCTTTTCTTACATTTATAGAAACAAGCTGCGCTCACAAACTAAGTGACAAAGGCTACCATACGCTTCTAGGGTCTGCAAGTATTACCTAACCGAAATAATTCTGAGACAATATCTGGTAGAATGCTGATATTTTGGTTTATTGTATTACTTTTTTGTGATCATTATTGTAACCGTATGAACCATTTGTTTTGAGCTTCTGGTTTCCTCAATTTATTAGGCTTCTTTTATACCATGGACAAAGCCTTAAAGTGACTCAAGACTGAAGCAATTTCGACAGTATGAAATTCTGGAATTCCTTTGCTTAAGACTGAGTCGACATATGGATTTCTTCATCAACGTGTTAGACACTTAGCACCACCACAACGTCATTGTCACTTTTTCGTTTACAGAAAGTCAAAGAACAGAAACCGTCTTGGCGGAGCTCTCTCAAGCTGCTTGGTAAAACGCTTTCCAACCAGCAATAAACAAAGTTCTCCGTTGGATTATCAAATTCAATTGTCTACGACGTCTAGAGCTAATTACTACTAGGTGGTCAAACCCAGTTTGTGCAGAAGCGTTGATAACGAGCGAAAAAGTTTATCGTTGACACTATGAAGAGCGCTTCGTGCCATTGCTTCATCATGACATACTTCTGGGGTACCACCTTCTACTTTACTTTCACTTGGAGATACACGTTACATCAAATCCCATGCGATCCCTCTATAGGGGAAACAAGAAATGCAACTGTTTTGTATCTGCGGTGAGGATTAGATACGTCACTGGAACCCGTGTTGCCCAGTGAAAGCTTCTAGTAAGCTGCAGATATGGTCATATTATTAAGAACATTAGGCGGTATGTGACTCTATAGCATAACGGCTTTGTGATTGACCTATTCAGTGCTCAATCCGACGAACGGCGATTTTGTTACAACCCGATAGTTTTAACCATTGTATATCAAAAAACACGGAAGTAGACTATGTTTGGCGAAGTCGCTTCCAACTTAAACGCTAGCGGAAGCTACTATAACCTTGTTGAAATCTCCAAAAGTCTTTAAATTCAGTCAAAGTTCAAATCTTCTTCAAATGAAGTAAGTTCGATATCCAGCATGAGGTGAGAGGCAAAAAATGTATAGGCTGAGCTTTGATTCGCCGCAATGTCCACGTCATTCATTCGCAGCTCATACAATATCCGGCCTATGAAAGTGGAAGGAATCGGCAATGGAACGAGTTTAGAGGAAACATAGAAAAGAAACTGCCTTTGTTACAAAGCTTACTTACAAAGCCAGCTTCGTTTCTATGTTTCGGTGTTTCCTTCTTGAGAACAGACGAAGTTGTTAACAAGATTTATTTAGCACTGAATTCGTGCTTGGAGTTCTTTCGTATTAACAGAACTGAGTGTAGCTGGACATATGCTTCGTTAAATATGGAAGTCATTAGAGTGTCGAGCTTGTTCTCATTTGATTCCTGGGTACTTTCTGCTGACGTTCTTTCCTCCTACAACTTACTACAGAAACAACTAGTCATCTTCGAATATTTTTCTATTCACCATTTTAATGTCAGGGTAGACCCCACTTGCTAATCTGCGTTGGTTAGAAAGTGCGTCAACTTATGTCGTAGGCGAGGGAAGATTTTGTTGCTGTGGTGGGTTAGAAGAGGTGGCAGCTTCGATATTTCGCTCACCAACAGTAAGAGGTTGCGTATACTGGGCAGTGGATGCTTACAATGGCCTTCGATAAGGAGGTATTGCGAGAACAAACTGTGGGGATTGCAGGTGATAAATATGGGCGTGCTTGTAGCAAACATGATGACGTTTTCCTTAACTCTGCCTCGATGCATATTTTTGTTGTGTTTGCTGAAAGGTCTTTTCTGCCCCTTACTCTAACATCAATTCCGTAAACAAGGAAATAATGCGTCCGATATTAAGTTTGCAAAGCACTGCAAAGCAAAGCACTACTGTTGCAAAGCATGCATTTACCTTGTGCGAGCTGGTAGTCACACGTATTGCAGATGAATGGCACTGAAAGTACTTGGTCGTCGTAAAACTAATCGTATTTCCAGAGCTATTGCTCTCCAGTTTGCCATTTAGTGATGTTGCCCATTGTTCAAGACCACTAGTGTTGAAGATGTGAAATCGGTGGTGGTGTACTCGTCTCCGTAGTTCGGGTGAACGTCAAGTAATTAATCGTCGTTTCGCATGTTTTTCCCTTCACTACCTGGAAGAGAGTGGTCGCTTGCAACAAAGTGGAGCTTCGAGTGTAGTGATGAAGTGGTTCAGAGAGCGTTTGAGTACAACTGAACCTCAATATGTAGGCTCGTGAGCCAGAGTAGTGTAGTAGTACCGCTTCTCCACGCCCGTCACTATAAATGTTGGCCTTGAAGCCCTGTTGGCCGAAACGAAGCGAAACAAAGCATTTTACTAGGCACGCATAGGACGCAGACATACAACGGGGAAGATTTTAAAGTGGAAGTCACTATCCTTGCTCATGATTCCAAAACACCGGCGCGTAAATCTCAAGAAGAGCGTTGGATAATTTCCAAAAATTCAAAAATGAACTGTAAGAAGGAGTGTCCTGTGATCAAACGAGACCTAGCGCCATACCTCAGGCATTTTCTGGTGTAAGCTAGGCACATTCTTCGCCCATGTAATATTCTGTGCTGCTCGTCTCTACCAAATAACTGAAACACTTATAAAGAATAAAACAGTGAATGCTTGAAAGAAGCTGTTCATTATTCGAATGAAATTTGTGAGTTTATTTCTTTCTACTGAGGTTAGAAAAGTGGTTGGTTGAGTGGAGTGCATGTAAATTTGACCTTTCCAAGGTCCGAAGAAGGCGATTCCACTTCCGAAACGTCGGCTAGTATTCTACTGAATAAATCTCGTTGTTTACAAACTAGTGCCTGGTTAAGAAGGAAACATTTACTTATCGAACAGTACCTAAGTCAGTAGAAAGTCGGTACCGGAAATTACAGTGTGAGCAACCTACATGAACTTGAGAGCAAGTTGTTTATTATCCTTTTTTATTGACAGGATGAGCTTACTGATAGCAATCTGTAAGCATCACAGTAGTCTGCAGCAGTATCGGAAATTCGTTATTTTTTAACCGTTTCATTACTGATGACTGAAGAATTTAAGGAAATGTTTAAACTTTGTGAACACAGTGATGCTGAGACGTGAGCAAAGCTCGGAACGTCATTTGTGCCTGAAGGCTTTACTTTGCTCTTCTCTTAATCACGTTTTAACCCTATCGGTTCTGTGTGTGTTTTTGCTTGTTCTCGGCTTTTAAGCTTTATTTTTATCTCAATCTTTTAATACCATGGAATAACCTCCGTAACTCTAAGTTGCTATATCTTTCTACCTCTATTCAGCAAGCACGAGGTGCTATTTTATTTCTTTATTTACGCACAAGCTGACGTTTCGGCGGATTTCGCCTTCCTCAGAACCTGGAAGGGTCAAGTTGACAGCAATCCACTCGGCCAAACACCTCCATAACCAAACAGAGAAAACGCTAAACCAAGATTTCAATCCCATTTAGCATGGCTCTGAACACTCACCGCTTTCTATGAGTCTTCCACTGAGTATGTCGCGTGAAGACCGAACGCACAGAATTCACATGGAAGCATAATGTGCCCCTCCCATCAGAATAACAGGTTTATATAGTGTCCAATATCACGCGTGATAACAAGGCATTCCTCCCTGCGGTTCATTTTCGGATTCTTGGAATTTATCCAGAATGCCTCTAGAGTTTTGCGCGCTTGTGTTCTCGATTCTTGCGCGAGGATCGTAACCCTTACTTCAAAATGATGGCACTCTTAAAAGAATGCTTGGGCTGCTCAATCTTCAGATGGTCTGGAAAGTACTACGCTCAAATAAGAGGGTTGGCAATGGGGCAACGACTGGCTCCAAGCCTTGCCATTGCATTTACGTCTAAGGTGGAAGCACCGGGGATTGATCTCGGGCCGCTACTCTACTGTAGATATATACAGATGACTGTTTTGTCCTTTGCTGAACACAAGAGGAAATGGGCAAATGTTTCGAGTTGTTGAATAAACAGTCAGAGTATATCAAGTTCACTCGAGAGAAACCGAAAGAAAAATGGCTTCCATTCCTGAAGGTCCAAATTAACCTGTGATAAAATGGATACATTGTGAAGTGGTACCGAAAGCCAAGTAGTAAAAACGTCTTGGTACATTACCTCTCTTCTCACCCCTCTCACACGAAAAGGGCGCTTGTGAGAAACATGTATCGAACAGCTACCAGCGTGTGCACAGGAAGACAGCAGAGAGAGGAGTCCTTCAACTCGGTGCGACAAATAGCCATTTCCAATGGCTACGAAACTGCAGCTCGGGATAGGTGTGGCGGAAATCGGAGGCACCCAAACGACAACTCTAGCGATAAAAAGTCTCGTTTAAGCTACCCTTCATCTCAAATGATGTAAGTGCAAGTATAAAACGCTGCCTAAGAAGGATGGGTCTAGAGAATTCGGTAAAAGTAGTTGAAATGCCACCGAGTAATCTTAGGCGCCAGCTAGTTCATAACCGCCTATATGACCGTCTATGCGCAACGCAAAATTACATAATTTTCCCCAATGGTAAAGACGGTGATTGCATGAGCCCGGGCATAGTTTATCTGATCTCCTGTAAGGCGTGCGGAGGCGAATACATTGGCGAAACGGGCTGACCCCTCTGGTCCGCTTAAAAGAACACCTAGCCGGCAAACATAAACCAAATACCCGCTAGGCGCGCATGGGACCCAGAACGCGACATACTCAGTGGAAGACTCGTAGAAAGCGGTGAGTGTGCAGAACTGTGTTAAAGGTGATTGAAATCTTGGCTTAGAGTTTTCTCTGTTTGGTTATGGAGGTGTTTGGCCGAATAGATTGCTGTCAACTTGACTTTTCAAGGCTCTGAGGAAGGCGAAATCCACCGAAACGTCAGCTTGTACGTAAATAAAGAAATAAAATAACAGCTCGTGTTTGCTGAACGGAAGTAGAAAGAATTATTCAACCTCGTGTTATTTGAGAAATTTGGAAGAGAAGAGGGAATCGAATTTCGTCTCACAATGTATAATTCTGCGAACGGAGATGCAGCCTGACCTCCCACTGGAAGCAATAGAATTTTATATTTTTACAATTAAAGACTAAGAGATCTGTGACCAACGGTTGCTAGTGAAAAATCGCCAGTTTTCATGTGCAATAAACCACGAGTTATCAAAGTGTCGTTCTTCCTTTCGTTATTCGCAATACCCACAGGCGAGTATGATGTAAGCCTTGCTAGAGAACAAACGATTGTCGGAAATTAAAATGCGGAAGGCAGTTTAGAGAATGAAAACGTGGGAAACATCGGCAAGAATGAAATGGATCTTTTTCTTTTTCCTTTCTTCATCCTCTTTCAATGGTGGATAGCCAGTCTTAAAACATCTACTATAAATCTGTAAAGTTCTAAACTCCTAGAATGCTCTATTGATCGAGAAATCACCAGTTTCCAAAAAGGCAGCTTCGTCACGAAAGGGGTAGGGAGAACAAGTCATCCGTTTTAGTGGGCTGAAGCATCAAATATAATTCATTATTTTTGTAGTCACACTTTAACCTATTATAGTGGATCATTAAATTCTCTGCGCCTACAATTGGCGCGTGTAGTGCAGTGTTTAGAGGCGCCCTGTAATGCACATGGGATCGATCCCGCTCTCCAGGCCCGCCATGCTCTCCATCCCTCCGGGGTCACCAATTTGACACCAAAATTGTTTGGAACGATGGCAGCACTGATTTGATACATCAGCAAGGCACTACAAGTTATTGTATGAGTCAAATTTGCATCCATTCACCTCTAACAATGCTTAATGAAGTCAGATGCATGACGCATACCTCAGGGATTGATTAACGCCGCAAGCTTTATCCTTTTTCACGCTTACAATTTCAAATGAAAGCTATCTGTTGTTTATCTTTTCATTTATCACTCTTACTGTGTGAATGCAGTGCTTGGAGGTGCACTACAATGCACATAGGATCGGTGCCTGGTTCAATCTCTCTGCGAAGCTCGATGAAGATGAATCCATGACACATCTGTCATGGATTGAACGATATCAAACGCTTTATTCTTTATTTACTCTCTAACTGGGTTTAGTCTAGGCAGTTTCGAATGAATCAAAGTGGGAAAAGGTGCGACATCGCTTAAAAACATTTCAAGATTGAGACTCACACGCAGTAACATTTTTCTTCAGCCACCGACATTCCGTATACAGTCTACACATGGTATCCCAATAAAGATTTTTTGGAAGTGCACAAGGAGACCATATAGGTGAGGTTACTTACCTTCTTCTATTTTTCTTCTTGACACTAAAGTAGGTGGTTTTTCGTAGCCGACGTGTAAATGATACACCTTTACTTGGCAGACATCGTGCGACTTTGCAGTCACATTTGGGTGTACTGTATTTCAGACTGGGGTGTTCCAGTAAACAACTACGGGAGTGAAGAAGACAATCTGCTTCATGTTTCCTTAAATAAAAATCCTCATTAAGGACATCAACACTCTCAGAAATGAACATACGGCGAACGATCTCCTCAAGGGATACGTGAGGATGAATTTGCATGATACATTGGTAGTAAACTCTTTCTCATGTCTCTCCATTGACTTTATTTCGTGATAAGGAATCGGTACATTTCTTTTGTATGACTTCACCTTTAACGTTTACTCTCTTCATTCATATTTCCTACCATGTATAACGATGGAGAGCAATAATATCGACAATCAATACGACAACATCAAGGGCGAACACTGGATAAAGGTGACGAGAAACTCCTTTACATTGCCGAAGCTACACTTTGGATTTTTTTCTATAGTCATTTCTATAACCTGTACATATCGTATATAGTTCGAACGCCCAGATAAACTGTTTTCTGTAGAACTTAGAAAGCACTCCACACATGGCTCACTGCACGAACTGGTGACAATCTGCTTTAGTGAAGATCTTTAAAAGCCTCGACACGGAATGTTAAAGACAATTTTTTTTTAAGAAATTTTCCAAAGCACCAACGTTATTGCTAAAGGGGGAGTTAATTGCACATAGAAGGATAAAAGGTTAAAGCTCTCGGCGTTGATCAATCCCTAAGCGATGCGCCATGCATTCAACTTCATTAAGTATAGTTGAAGGCGACTGAATCCTTATCTGGCCTTTACAATCACTCGCGGTGGTATGCCGATGTAACCAGCCAGTGCTGCGATCCTCTCAGACAAGTCTGGTACCAATTTTCCGACTCCGGAGAGATGGAAAGCTTGGTGGGCAATGGGTGAGGGAGATTACTCTCCTCGTATGTATCGCAGTGGCGCCTTCAACCACTGCGCCACACACGCTCTTCAATTAATTGCATATAACTAAATTTAAGGACACTTGAGCATGTTCCCATTTTCCGACATTGTGAATTTCACTGATGGTGTAGTACAGTATTATATACACTTAGTAGCCGATTGTTCATTACGTCGGCATATCAAAGACTTTCCAATATATCACTTTTCGAGAATAGCTTTGCTACTTTCGCTATGTGAGAGTGATCTTCTCATATTGGATCGCCAATGCATTGATGTGTGGTACTTCTTCATAGTTTACGTAGTGGCTTGGTTTTTTTATATGCCATAAAATTCTTATTTTTAGCGAGGGGATTGCACAGTGGTAGTGATGTCCTTCATTACGAGCATGGTGCTAGTTCGATTCCGCTCCAGGTCTGCCAAGTCTCTCATCCGTCAGAGGTCGGGGAATTGGTACCGGACTTGTCTGGAAAAAATCGCTCTCTGCAATCTAACTGGGAACGCTCCAGTTTTGCTATCTCAGGACTCCAGGAAGAATCGACTCGACCAACATTCTACAACATTCAAAGTCCTCAAGCAGCAACTGAACTCGCACGTAAAAGTTGGCAGATCTTCGTACACAGTGGGTGCGAGGAAACGAATGGAATGTGAGAAGTGCTGGGATCCTGCAGTAGACGTGAGGACGGGTCAAATAAAATAAAATGAAATAATAAATAAAAATCTTTATGGTGTAGACCGGATGGACCCGGATGGTGTGGTGGTGAAGTGCGCTGCTCCCCGGTAAGGACAACAGCGCGTGTTCGTTCTCCACTGCATACACCTGTGGTCCGGAGTTTTGCAGATATCTCAGCACTTCATACGAGTTATATTTCTCAACATACCCTGCCATTAAGAAGAAAAAGGCAGTAAATAAAAGAGTTAAAAATCTTTATTTTTAAACTTTTTGTTGGATTTGCCATTTCGGTATTTATTATTGTGATGTCTATCATCTGCCTGTACTCTGAAAGCTAGTATAAGAACTTCTCCAATGACCATCGAACTCCGTTCCGTAGTGAGTCGAGAACTAGGAAATCTGACATAAAGAAGTACTTTACGTTCATTAGCCTTCACCTGTATCACCTGTGGTCCCGTTGATTCGAACAGGCGCCAGTAAATCTTCCATTCTTCCCTGCCGCCTGGAAGAATAGCCCAGTGGGTTCTGCTCGCTCTAGGGACTCGTCGTTCATCACATCTTTCTTCAAGGCTCTTTGTGAAGAACTCTGACCATCGGATCGGTGGTCTTCCTGCAGTACATTTGACATCCCGAGGAATCCAGTCACTAACGGCTCTTGTCCATCGGTTGTCATTCATACGCATTACGTATCCGGTCCACCTTACCTTCGACTGTTTAGCGTATAGAATGGCATCTTTGATTTTTGATCGTTGACGCAGGTCACAGCTTCGGATCGCATCCCTTACTTGTGTGGAACGGGATACTACTGGCATCGTCCTTTCGAATGCGCGTTCGATAACGCTGAGTGATCTTTCAACCTGATTACGCAGCGACCAGGTTTCTGACGCATACGTTAGGACAAGAAGTACCGTTGAGTGGGCGCGGAGTCAGGTGCTCCTTGTTCTCTTCACTACATCCTCGATGCTCTTGAAAGCACCCCAAACCACTCGTCTCGAAAAGCTAGGCACGTATAAAGGAAGACCTTAAAGAAAGAAGGGTAGCAGTAATGGTCGAAGCTGCAGAGGCTGGAAAAAGCATTCGCAAAGCTCAACGAAGGCTCGCCAATTGCAAGACCAAAATGATTGCACTCCGACACCCTGAAGAAGCAGCTACAGCGTCCAGAAACGCAATGGAGAAAATCATTCACGAATACTACTCGAATCTCTTCGATAGCCACATCCACCTTCCGTCATATGAGATAAAGGAGAATGGATATGTTGTACCACCTTCCAAAATCCGACATATCGAACAGCACTAGGTTCGGATGAGATAAGATCAGAACACCTGAAGAACCTTCCACCAGTGCTCGTAAACACACTGGCTCAGCTCTTCATACGTTACCTGTCCGAATGCAGGGTCTCTACTCTGTGAAAGGCCAACAAGACCGTGTTATTGTTCAAGAAGGGTGACCTATACGATATCGGCAGCTATCGCCCAATCTGCTTACTGTCTGTCGTCTACAAACTTTTCATTAGCCTTAACCCTGAAATTCTCCAACTTCGTCTTAGAGCAAGTGCTATGAACCTTAATATCTAATAGAAAACGTTTTCATCGTAATCTTGAATCCTTCAACTATTTCTGGTCCGAACGTCAACCGCGTTTCGAGGATCATCACTTCGTTTCGGTACCGCAGCAACCATTGTTCGTTTACTTTCATGATCTGTAGATGACTATTTAAGGAGATGCAACAATCTGAGGAGCACTTCCACTTACTTTCATATATGGCCGTGTTTTGGTTGAGATTACTTGTTCCTCTGTGTTGACATTTCCCCATTTTTAAGGCCTAAATTAATCAATGCTTTCCAAACTACATGTCGAGTAAGAAAGAAATAGAAAAAGGGTCGCTGAAATTCCATAAGATTCTCGAAATTAAAGATGTATATAGAACGAAACCAATCTTAAAAATACCCTTTGTCGAGTTAAAAACGAATTTTCAGGCACCTACCGTCTCGGCAGAGTTTCTACCCGCATTTTCGTGTTGTTGGCTCTCCTTTGTTGTCACAGAAGACACTGTAGAAATATTCGTGACCATAGAAGTCATCTTCGCCGAAGAGGTCCCTTGTGTGTGTGGCGTCGGTGTAGGAGTAGTTGGACCACTGAGTGATCTTTGGGTTGTAGGAATGGCTGGAGTAGAAGAAATGGAGTTATTGACATGCTTTAGCCGTGATGTCGAAATTGTTGAGGGTCCTTCGGCTTCTGAAGTGCTCGGATTCAGTGGAGCAGCTTTCTGGGAAGAAGTATGTTTAGAACGCAGCACTTCAATTAGACGAGTATCGGCGACCTTATGCTGAAATTCACTGTAGTTCAACTAGCAGATTGTAGAAATTGGTGGTCGCTGTACTAAAGTGTGCCTTCGGAATGGGAATTATACAAGAAAGAGTTTAATTCCAAATTTTTAGTTGTTTGGGTGAATCGTGTTTAACAAGTTCTTCATAGGGATAAGCATTCTACCAAATTTTGGAGTTTCTGTGTGGGACTACTTAATGATTTTCCTGTCAAATCGCATTAGTTGCAGACAGCGTTTTTGATCTCCAATAAAGCTGGATAACTGAACGGCAGTGGTTTTTTTTAAAAGAGCATGGTTTATCCGACATAAGTTGAGTTTACTTAGGAGCGCATCGAGAGAGACGCCGTTTAATAGACGCAACACCCTTGTCGAACATAGCTCAGTGCAACCGAGTCTCCCATCCATCCGGGATGGAGACGTCGACATCATACCAATCTTGAAAGGGCTTCTTTAAATTCACAAAAGTGGGCGTGAACAAGACCTCGGAAAATCCTTGAAAGTATACCGCATGATTCTAGGAATGTTTTCTACCAGTAGTCAACAACTTTCGTGAAGAAGACGAAGTGCGTAACTGTATGCGAACACTCTGGTGAATCCAAAGACCTTCGTGGACGACGGATGCGTGGAAATCTAATGAAAGAAGTGCAGGGGTCCGTACGTGTGATGTCTAGTCATGTAAAAAGTTTTGATATAATCTATTTATCACTTGCAATAATTGTAGGATGCGTGCAGTCTAGTGACTAAAGATAATCTAAGACACATACAGACGTTAGTCTGATCATACACGCTGTGTTAATAAAGCCCCAAGAGTAGGTACAAGACTTGTCTGGGAGGATTGTAGTAATGACATGATCCATCGGTAGGCTACTGCAAGTCAATATATAAGCCAGATATGCACACTGTCACCTCATGGTACAAGCCTCACTACTAATTTTACCGTTACCTACAACTTCGTCGAATCATGCCAATAGGTGTTTCCGGATGGCTTCGATGAAAGGAATGTTGGGTCATTCAGGGATGTTGCACTTGGAAAATCACTGAGTGTAAACGGTGATAATGAGCTCTCGGAAATAGAGCTATCAATCATTTGCGATAAGCTAAAATAAACGATTTCTACGCTGAACATCTCTCCTAGTTAGCCATGTTACCATACTTTGGTCTATATTTAATGCTATCATGTAGCGCTTCTCTTGCTTAACTTGCTAGACTACGAATAGAACTCTTTTTGAACACAATACCTTATCCAATATCCTATGGAACTCACTAAGAGAAGTTCGGGCAATTTCATAGACACCATTCGCCGTCGCTCGCCAGACGATGTTGGAGTAGCGACGTCAGTTTCCTCGTACGGTGGTGGTGCTTCGAAGAGGAAACGCATTTCCCTTAATGACAGCAGGTATTTGCTATTTTTGCCATTTTTTTCCATGAGGTGCGATAGAAAAGCTTTTCACGTTTTGCTTAATTTGAAACAGTGAACTTTGAAAAACAGGGAAAACCAAGGATCCGCATGGAGTGGTGGTGTTCGCGTTACCCCTGGAAAGGGTAATAGCGCGTTTGTTCCCTACCGCAGACAACTGCGGTCCGGAGTTTTGCGAATATCTCAGGATCATTGTGGTTGTATCACACATAATACCCTGTCGTAAAAACTCTAATAGGCAGTAAATAAAAATTTAACACAGTGAACTTTACTTCCATAGAAAAACACAATACAATACAACACTAGCTGACGTTTCGGAAGCATCGTCTTCCTCAGAGCCTGGAAGGGTATAGTGATATACAATCTACTAGGCCAAACGCTTCAATAACACTTACAAAAAGACGAAAGACTCTTTGGTAACTACATGATCAACAACTTCTCGAAAAAACCCACCGCTTTTTCGTGACTTCCACTGACGAAGTTTAGAACAGTTGATTATAGTCGCATGTGGTTGACGACTGCACCATCAAACATCAGAAATTGATGCGAACATACGGGATCAGGTCGCGCATGACCTCCGGGCATCCATCCCTGCTATTCATTGTAGGGTTTTTGGCATTTATCCAAAAAGCCTCAAGGAGTTTTCGCGCTGGTGTTTTGGACTTCTGTGCAAGGATATTGACTTTTACTTCAGAATCGTCTCCGCTATGCTTTTGTATCCTATGGGTGCCTAGTGGGGTACTTCGTCTTAGTTTTCGTTTGCCATCTAGGTGTTCTTTTATACGGATACACAAAGGTCTGCCCGTTTCGCCAATATATTCATCTCCGCAATTATTACAAGAGATCAGGTATATCGTACCTGAACTCATGCAATCACCGTCCCTGCCGTAAGGGCAAATTACGCAATTTGTTGTTTCACACAGACGGTCATACACGCGGTTGCGAACTAATTGGCGACGTAGAGTAGCCGGTGGTATTTCAACTATCGCTACCGATTCCTCTAGTTTATAAAGAGAACGACGCGCCCACACGAAACACTTGGCCAAAAGAAAGTCCCGTTTATGTTGCCTTTTATAAGCGATAAAGTAAGCGTAGCTATAAAAGGATGCTTAAGAAGGGCAGGTCTAGAGGAATCGGTACCGTATTGAAGGTATTGAAGCGCTTGGCTTTGTAGACTGCATATCAGTATACCCTTCCAGACTCTGAAGAAGACGATACTGCCGAAACGTCAGCTAGTGTTGTATTGTATTGTGTTTCTCTATGGAAGTAAATGTATGCTGTTTAAAAACCTCTCGATTGCTGAACAAGAAAACGACGCATTCATATTCCAATGCCAAGGTTAAGAGAAAGTCGATCCTGGAAACAGTGAACTTTATCGAATCTCTCGATCAATTTAGATCACGTCCTCCAGTGTATCATGAATATTGGGAAAAAATCAATTGCTTCGAAAAGTTGAGAACACAGCTTCGACCACCAGTACCGGGGCTATTTGTGTTTGCCATAGCACTAGGTCTAATTAGCAAGATGAAGAGGACGTCTTTTAACTCAAAAGTGTGCAATCACGTGCTCATTAAGTTTCTTAAAGACATCTTTTTATTAGATGAAGATTGGAATGCAGGTTTTATTTATGGTGCAGGTGCACATCTGCAAAGAATGTCACCACAGTGGCCTCAGTTATGATTGAACGACTCTTCCTTAAATGGATACTTTTTCACATGCTTGTAATATAAATTACATATGAAATGGGAGAGAAACTCTCTCTCAAGGATTCTTCCGTAGTTTCGCAAGCTTCAGAATTCAAATATACACATGTAACACTATGCAATCTTAAAATAAAGAATTGACGAGCGGATAGCACAGTGCTAGTGATACCCTTTATCACGAGCATGGTCTTAGTTCGACTCCTCTCCCGGTCTACCAAGCCTCTCATCCCTCCGCGGTCGAGAAATTGGTTCCGGACTTGCTTGGGAAAAAATCACTCTCTGCAACCAAATTGCGAACGCTCGAGCCCCGCTATCTCAGGACTCCAGGGAGAATTGCTCGACCAGCATTCTACGACGTTCAAAATAAAATGAAAATCCTCAAGCAGCAACCGAAGCGACTCGTTAAAAGTTGGAAGACCTTCGTAGGCAATGGATGCGAGGAAACGAATCGAATGTGAGAAATGTTTGGATCTGCACGATAGATGTGAAGACGGGTCATTTAAAATAAAAAACATAAGGATTACTTTTGCTGCCATTCATCTCCACCATTCTTGAGCTTTTTTGACTTTTTCGATATCACAGAAGATGCTGTGGTAACTTGATTGTCCTTTGCAACAGGTTCCACATCAACAGGCTCTAAACAGTCAAAACTGCGAAGCATTCTGTAGTTTTTGAAGAGTGTCTTCAAAAACATCTCTTTCTTGTTTTCGGTGTGGACCTTCCATTGACTCCATGGTGTTTCTTTGCGTTCTTATTTGCACATCATATTGAGTCTCATCCATGGAATCCGAATCACCTTTGGGAGGTGGCAGAGGGAATCTTATTGATACATGGTCTTGGTCCTTTCTCTGAAAGGTATTTGCACTTGATTGGAAACTGATATTAGAAAGAATGTAGCTCATTGTTCTTCGGTGTAAAATTAAGTAAGATTATTCGTTGTTTTTTGCAAAGGTCCGAAACGAAACAGTGTGTTTACAAGTGTCGGTCGATTGATCTATAAGAAAGTGATAACCATAGTAACTGGGTTGTAGCACTGGTTGAGAAAATTGAACGGCCATGATCAAGGAAAACGACTGCCTTACTCACCCTACAAAACATTCTTAATGTAAAATAGACAAGAACGGCTGCAGCCGCAATAACAATAACAGCAGAAAGAATAATGGACCACATTTTTTCACCTGTAATGAAAAACTGCTCGAAAAATATCCATGGAACGTCTTAACGGTAACATGACATACTAGAGCCTAACGACAGGGAGAGCAAAGAAGTGAATGGTTTAATCAGCGCTCGTGCGCCTGTCAAATTTGTCCAGAAATTACCGATCGGATTACATCTTACACTTCCTGGAAACCGCTGCAAGCTCAGAAACCTTTGGAAAAAAATCTACATATACTGTCCGAGTGGGTCTTTTGCAGGAAAAACAAGTGCAGCGTTGTTTCTCCAGAGGCATCTTTATTCGCCTTGGCAAACATATCTAAGAACTTTCAATACTACAACGACGAGAAAGCCAACTCGTTTCAGCATTACGCTTTGCCTTTGTCAAAGAATGTTTAGCAGTAACGCTAAACCAAACGGGTAGGTTTTGACCATTGAAAACTCACTAATATTCAATGTCCTATCGAATGAAACCGGCTACCGCAAAGCCATATGGTAAAATGAGAGGCAGCTCCATGGTATCTCGTGTAATAAAATTATACTTATGAGATTTGCCTTCCAATTTCTTCATTGTTCAGTAAGAGATATAGGTAGGAGGAGGGCGGTTCATGTTATATAACTAACAAGGAGCGTTGAAGAACTAGTGCTGACGACGAAAAGCGCCACGTTTTATCTCTATTTAGTTCAACTCCATAGTACACCTTGTGCCTCCATCTGATTCGGAAGAATGACATAAGGATGACAACGCATGTGTAGTCGGGTCTATTCGGCTTTCCTATCGTGAAAAAGCAATGTATTAATGAGACTAGCAAACTAAGAGCTTTTAAGAGGTCTAATTATTAACAATTGAGGTAGGTGGTGGTTAAATGGGATAGACAGCGGTTCGATACTTTGCGTCATACAAAGAAAAACATGAGGATTGATTAGCAAAAACTAACTGAATATCAAGCTCTTTATTTATTTATTTGTTTTATTTTATTTCAGCCGCCTTTAAGTCCACTGTGCGGATCCCAGCACTTCTGACACTCAATTCGTTTCTTTGCATCCATTGTCCACGAAGATCTTCTAGCTCTATGGGTGGCTTCGCTCGGTGCTTGAGTATTTTCGTTTCACCTCGAATGTCGTACAATGCTGGTCGAGCAATTCCTGGAGTCCTGAGATAGCAAGACTGGAGCGTTCCCAATTGGATTGCAGGGAGCGATTTTTTCCCAGACAAGCTCGGTACCAATTTCCCGACTCTCGAGAGTTGAGAGGCTTCGTTGGCCCGGAGAGCAATCGAACTAGCACCATGTTCGCGATGACGGGCATCACTACCACTGTATAATGCGCCGTCCGCAATAAAGCAATTTAAAACGAACAATTCGATGACTGCCGAAGTGGTAGCGATATTTCCTCTGGCATCTGCCCAACAAGAACTACAGCGATCCCAGTGTCGCCAAAATAGGAAGGAATGGACATATCTAGAATTCATGACCATCTTTAGAAGACCCTCTAAACGTTCGTTCAAAATCTAGAATGGTCAGTGAGAACCTATATAACATGGATTTATTCGACGCTTATCAGAAAAGATGAATATTTGCCTCCTTAACCCTTTCGTAACGACGTGACTCAGATACGAAAATAGTGGCCGCTTTCAAATTTGAATCAAAATATCTCAGCTTACAGTGAATTCTTTTCTTTTATATACCATCCGTCTTTCACATATACTGTGCGAATTTCAGTGTTTCTTACAGCCGATTGGTTTCCATGCATCCATCGTCCACGAACGTCCCCCAACTTTTAAATATAGTTTCGGCGGCTGTTTGAGGATTTTCATTTCATCATTAGTGTTGTAGAATACCGGCACAATCGATCTTTTATGGAGATCTGAGATAGCTGGGCTAGAGCGCTCCCACTTGGATTACAAAAATTGATTCCTCCCGGACAAGTCCGATACCAATTCCTCATCCCCGGTGGGATGAGAGGCTTGATGAGACCGTAGCGTGATCGAACCACTGTCGTGCTCATTGTGCTCGGCATCACCACCGCTGTGCTATCCACCTCTATAGCGAATGTTACTAGTTATAGTAGAAAACACCAGAATTTGCAAACATTTGGATACGG